TTTTGTGGTTCCCGAGTTGAAAGTTGCGGACAAGTTGCTGCGGAAACACACACACAAACACACACAGACAACCCCGTGACAATACGCGCTTTGTACTGCTGTTACACAGCACAAAACGCATAAAAACCGTTACAGACGCACACACAGACACAGAGACACACACACACACACAGACAACCACTCGTCAATATGCGTTTTCTGCATTGCATAGATGCAACTTAGTCGAAAGCGCACCGGCTGCCGGTGCGAAGATGCGTTTTTTGTGCAGTTTCCCCGCAAGTTTTTGTTGCTGACGGCACTGTTTTTCCCAGCAGATGCTTTTAGATAAGAGAATAGAGAGTAGCTGCCACGAATGTTAGAAATTATTTCAATGACCCTCAATCCATGCCCCAAAAAATCCAGCACTCCAGATGCTTCAGTTGCGGAGTTACGCCAAATTTACGTATTCATACGTGAGTGGTAACGTAATGCTTTTTTCGCGTGCAACTGCTGAAACACGGCCCTGGGCAGCGCTCAGAAAGTTTCGGCGCTCTAACTTTTTTGGTTGCGAAATTGCGCCAATTTTCACATGCTCGTACGTGAGGCATACGTGATACGTGAAAGTGATGTGCAATTCGTTTTTGCGTCCATCTGGTCAAAGACCGCCGTCGATTATGCTCAAAAAGTCCCAGTCCTCTAGCTGCTTCAATTCTGAAGTCACAAAAGCGCATGCGCAAAGTTTCCACTTGTCCGTACGTGAGATGCAGAAGGGCTGGAAAACTCAATTTACTTTCACGGGCACAACAGTTATCGTCAAGTAACGCTGCAAAATTGCAGCTCTCCACAACTTCCTGATCAGCTTAAATCTGGAGTTGGCATGGCTTAGACTCTGACGTGTGAGTACGTGAGGCCTAGGGGCGCGTGAAGACTGAATTTATAATCTTTGGATTAGACGCAGCCAACGAACATCTCTGTGAAGTTCCAGCCTCCTAGCATGGGCCGTTCCAGAACACGCTTTCCCGCCAAAAAAACTTCCACATGCCCGTACGTGAGAACCACGTGGACTTGAGCGTCCATTTTGAGGGTACGAGCCCGCACGTGTGTGTTGATTTAGTCACCAAATTTTCAGCCTTGTAGCTTTTGTGGATCACGAGATGAAAATTCGTTACAGACGCACCCACAGACTCACAAACACACACAGACAACTCCTCGACAATATGCATTTTTGTATTGCATAGATGCAAATT